GGCTACGCTACACCCGACAGACGGCAACGCTACACCCGGCAGACGGCAACGCTACACCCGACAGACTGGCAGCGCTACACCCGGCAGACGGCAGCGCTACACCCGACAGACGGCTACGCTACACCCGACAGACTGCAACGCTACAACCCGACAGACGGCTACGCTACACCCGACAGACGGCTACGCTACACCCCGACAGACGGCTACGCTACACCCGACAGACGGCAACGCTACACCCGACAGACGGCAACGCTACACCCGGCAGACGGCAACGCTACACCCGACAGACTGCAGCGCTACAATCCGACAGACTGCAGAGCTACACCCGACAGACGGCTACGCTACACCCGACAGACTGCAACGCTACATACCCCGACAGACGGCAACGCTACACCCGACAGACGGCAACGCTACACACACCCGACAGACGGCAACGCTACACCCGACAGCAACGCTACACCCGGCAGACGGCAACGCTACACCCGACAGACAGCTACGCTACACCTGCAAAAAAAAAAAAAAAAATCACCCACGTGACACATCATTGTAGCCAATCACAGACAATGTCTGATGAGCTCGTAACAGAATGGCGCTATCAGAGGCGTTTGACTCCGCTCAACATAGCGCTCCAAAGCTCGCATTTTTAAATTTCAGTATCAACTTGTGTAGACAGACGGCTACGCTACAACCCGACAGACCCGACAGACGGCTACGCTACACCCGACAGACGGCAACGCTACACCCACCCGCAGACGGCAACGCTACACCCGACAGCAACGCTACACCCGACAGACGACGGCAACGCTACACCCGGCAGACGGCAACGCTACACCCGGCAGACGGCTACGCTACACCCGACAGACGGCTACGCTACACCGCGACAGACGGCAACGCTACACCACCCGACAGACGGCAATGCTACACCCGACAGACGGCTACGCTACACCGCGACAGACGGCTACGCTACACCCGACAGACGGCAACGCTACAACACCCGACAGACGGCAACGCTACACCCGACAGCAACGCTACACCCGGCAGACGGCAACGCTACACCCGACAGACTGCAGCGCTACACCCGACAGACGGCAACGCTACACCCGGCAGACGGCAACGCTACACCCGACAGACTGCAGCGCTACACCCGGCAGACGGCAACGCTACACCCGACAGACAGCTACGCTACACCCGACAGACTGCAGCGTTACACACCCGACAGACGGCAACGCTACACCCGACAGACGGCAACGCTACACCCGACAGACTGCAGCGCTACACCCGCAGACGGCAACGCTACACCCGACAGACTGCAGCGCTACACCCCGCAGACGGCTACGCTACACCCCGACAGACGGCAAACGCTACACCCACCCGCCGACAGACGGGCAACGCTACAAAGGAATAACCCCCGGCGACGCAAACGCTACAACGTACACCGACAGACTGCAGCGCTACACCCGGCAGACGGCAACGCTACACCCGACAGACTGCAGCGCTACACCCGGCAGACGGCTACGCTACACCGACAGACGGCTACGCTACACCCGACAGACGGCAACAACGCTACACCACCCGACAGACGGCTACGCTACACCCGACAGACGGCCTACGCTACACCCGACAGACGGCAACGCTACACCCGACAGCAACGCTACGACACCGGGCAGACGGCAACGCTACACCCGGCAGACGGCAACGCTACACACCGGCAGACGGCAATACAAGACGGCTACAACACCCGCAGACGGCAACGCTACACCCGACAGACGGCAACGCTACACCCGACAGCAACGCTACACCCGGCAGACGGCAACGCTACACCCGACAGACTGCAGCGCTACACCCGGCAGACGGCAATGCTACACCCGACAGACGGCTACGCTACACCCGACAGACGGCAACGCTACACCCGGCAGACGGCTAACGCTACACCCGGCAGACGGCTACGCTACACCCGACAGACGGCTACGCTACACCCGACAGACGGCAACGCTACACCCGACAGACGGCTACGCTACACACCCGACAGACGGCTACGCTACACCCGACAGACGGCAACACCGAAGACCCCGCTACACCGACAGACGGCAACGCTACACCCGCGACAGCAACGCTACACCCGACAGACAGCTACGCTACACCTGCAAAAAAAAAAAAAAAATCACCCACAGTGACACATCATTGTAGCCAATCAGAGACATGTCTGATGAGCTCGTAACAGAATGGCCTATCAGAGGCGTTTGACTCCGCTCAATAGCGCTCCAAGCCTCGCATTTTTTAAATTTCAGTATCAACTTGTGTAGACAGACGGCTACGCTACACCCGACAGACCCGACAGACGGCTACGCTACACCCGACAGACGGCAACGCTACACCACCCGACAGACGGCAACGCTACACCCGACAGCAACGCTACACCCGACAGACGGCAACGCTACACCCGGCAGACGGCAACGCTACACCCGGCAGACGGCTACGCTACACCCGACAGACGGCTACGCTACACCCGACAGACGGCAACGCTACACCCGGCAGACGGCTAACGCTACACCCGGCAGACTGCAGCGCTACACCCGGCAGACGGCTACGCTACACCCGACAGACGGCAACGCTACACCCGCAGACGGCAACGCTACACCCGGCAGACGGCAACGCTACACCCGACAGACTGCAGCGCTACACCCGGCAGACGGCAACGCTACACCCGACAGACGGCTACGCTACACCCGACAGACGGCAACGCTACACCACCCGACAGACGGCTACGCTACACCCGACAGACGGCTACGCTACACCCGACAGACGGCAACGCTACACCACCCGGCAGACGGCAACGCTACACCCGGCAGGCGGCAACGCTACACCCGACAGACAGCTACGCTACACCTGCAAAAAAAAAAAAAAATCACCCACAGTGACACATCATTGTAGCCAATCACAGACATGTCTGATGAGCTCGTAACAGAATGGCCTATCAGAGGCGTTTGACTCCGCTCAATAGCGCTCCAAGCCTCGCATTTTTTAAATTTCAGTATCAACTTGTGTAGATTACATCCAGATAGAGCATATAAGCACAAAACAATTCCAGTTTTTATGCAATCACACAGAAACCTAATCCTGTGCAAAGTGCATAATTAGCAATAGCAGAAGCTTTAGCATGTGAGGTGTCTGTCAGGTGTAGTGTGGCACATGGCCTTTAACCTCGAGGTCGCTGATCGGTCATTAGAGAGGATGTTTGGTCTCCTGTGTTGCTTCTCTGCTGCAGCTCCAGCTAACCCTACAAACACAACCTGTGCCGCCTATCTACTAACCTGAGTGTGAAAGTTTGCCATGGTAGTCGTCTCGATGTCCTTTTTCCCCAGGATTTCCATTTTGACGGGCGAGTTGGGGAACTTGCAGGAGAAGTACTCGAGAAAGTCTGGGAGATACGAGGCGGCCCCGTGGATCACTCCCATCACGTAGTTGGCAGAGCCGTCCTGGTCCTCGCTAAACGACAGGGTGACGAACTCCTGTGCGAACCTCTGCATCTCCACGGGCGTCAGGACCGAGAGCTCCTTGCTGTAGGCGTGCAGAACCAGGGCTCCTCCGTTGGGCTGGTTCTCCACATGGACCAGACAGCCGAACTCCAGCCGGTCCAGCCCGGGCAGCGTGGCGGGTTTCTCCGGGCCGTCAGCGGCGCTCAGACTCGGAGTGCAGATGTTCTTCAGGCTCGGTGTGCTTCTGCTCTCCGGTGTCGTTGGGCAACAGGAGCTCACAGAGACGCCCTGCTGGACCGGAGCCGGAGGCTGGAACTCGCACTCGGGACTAACCGTCTGGCTGGACCTGCTGTACATCTTGGGCCGCTTTCGCTTTTCACCTTCTTTGTGTTTCTTTTTCTTTTTCTTCTTGACCTTTTTCATCAGCAAATCCTCAGCAAAGTTAATCTTCGGCTTCTCTCCGTCACCTACAGCACAGGAGAAAGGGGATTAACTTCACAAACATCCAAAACATTTCACCCACAACAAATAACAGAGCTGATAAAAGCTTCAGCAATTACCACAACATGAAAACTTGATAGCGTCCCATGCCTAACAGTAATACAAACGTCAAAAATATTTGCCATGTTAATAAAACACCTTAAATCAGGGATGCAAAAACAGTTCTAATGTATTCAACACACTACTTTCTTTAAATAATGTGATGACGCATTCATTCTTTTTTTCTCTTTCGAGTAGGTCATGTTTTGAAAGACGACGTCCTGTAGCTTCCTGATGTACATAAATAAAAATGAGTAGTCCGAGTATAGTGAGTAGTATATAAGCCCTTTATTGCATGTGTATAGTGATGGTCCAGAGGTAGAGTTTTTGCCTAGCGTGTCGAGACTCGGGGGGTTCGAGGTTCTAATCCGCACTCGTATAGTTTTTTTTCCCCTCATCAAAACCAATAATGTTTATCAATGGTTGAATTGATAAAATGTTTATCAGTGGTTGAATATGTTTTGATGAGGGGAAAAAATGATACGAGAGCAGATTAGACCCATGGGAAACAGGGACATGTTTGTGTGCATTTTGATTAGTGATTTCACCGTAACGAATCTCCGCAACGGATTGAAGCGCGTTTCTGAGAGAAGAAGACAACACATTTCAGTGCTAGATCGTCTGTTGTTTAACAAACAAATGAAACGAATGCTGTTACTGGAGATGTTTTATTTGTATTGGTACATCTGTGCCGCGAGATGTTTCAAAAGTGGTGGGTACATGTCCCACCCGTCCCCCCCGTAAATGCCCTAAACCCAAACTGTGCAGTGCCAAAGACGCATCTATCCGGCACACAGCAGACTGCAGACATGGGCTCTCGGTGCTGCTGCTGTTTGTCCGTCTCCTCCGTGTGATCAACTATTATCTCATTTTAATGTCATGATTACAGCAAATAATTAGTTAAAACATTAAGTTCATATCTTGAGCTTTTAACAACACTCACCGCTGTGCTGTAACGAAGACTATGACGGTGCAAGTAACATACACAAGCATTTTTCTAATTTAGTATAAATTATAAATTAGACCCCCATGTTACCAGACTACTGAAGCCGACAGAATATGAAACAGCCCCACCTGAGATATTTTTCACCAGCCGCCACTGCTAAACAAGAACCAAATAATATTATTTAGAATATAATGTTTACACATGATTACACAACCAAACTTCAGTTGTGAATACGCATCTTTACACACAGTCATAAAAACAAGACCTGTGAGGGTTCGATCACACATTTCCCACTTTATTTTGAACCAAAATACCTGTGTGGTTAGTTAGTCATGTTTGTTGTATTGAGGTGATTGCTGATTGTGAGCCAGGAGAGATCAAAGCTGCACTTGGTCAAACTAGACTCTTTTCTTCCTTCTCTGCCATCGAGACGTCAACCCCTGCCTGACCAGCCCGATTGTCACATCTCGGTTTTGAGTTTATTTATGTTACAGGGTTAATAGTATTTATGTTTAGTTATTCTTTTGTTAAATATTTTATCATTTTTGACCATTTATGCTGTCTCGTTCCCTCTTTTGTCACAACCATTGAGCCAGGTTGTGACAGACATGACCAAACGAGTCGTGGTTCAGTGAGTTCTTATGAACGATTCACTGGCCGAGTCTGATGTAAAGTTGTTGGTTAGGGTTCTGCCCTTTTATTCCCATTTGCACACATTTTAGTAAAATATTTTTGTGACACCTGAATGTTTTAGAATAGCATTTCTTAAGCAATAAAGTCTGTGAGGTCTTTTCCTCGATTGCATGACGGCGTCACATGGCTAGTCTAAAGCGGCTGCCCTCGATCACATGGTCACAGGAATGATGACGACATGGCCGTCGCTTCGGACACACGTGAGGTTCTCACTCGGGCGTAAAAGGACAAAGAAGGCAGAACCTGCAGCCGATAGAAAAGCTTCACACTCGGTTCTGTCTTCCAGGGATCTAACCGAACGCTGGTCCTTTTTATAGTCATCATCATAATGTGTCCTAGTGGAAATTGTAACTTTTTTACAACGTCACCGAACTGACCTCAGCTGGACTGTGACGCTATTCTCTTCGAGAAACAAACTTTGTTCCATTATTGTCCTGTTATCTCTGTAAAGCTGCTGTGAAACACTCATGTTGTAAGAAGCGCTGTATATAAATGTGACTGGAACCCCTAACCCTGCAGCCCAGGTCAAAGGTGAAAGGTCACAGACATTCAGGTGTGGGTGTTTGATGGCGTCTGTGAATTACGAATAACAAATGCCTCACCTTTCTGCAGGATCTTCACCTCTCCGTTCTCTCTCTTCATCTCCATCATCAGCTTGTGTTTTCTTTTCTCCTTCATCTCTCTCTCCTGCTCTTTTTCTCGGTCCTTCTCTCGCTCCCTCTTTTTCTCACGGTCTCTGTCTTTCGGTTTCTCTTTGTCTTTAATGGTGTGTTCTGTAGGAGAAAGAAACACACCCGATGTTAAAGCATTGACCGAGATCATGATCTACCCTCCCGTCAGAAGCCTTCACCCCAAACACACACACACACACACACACTCCTCAACAGAGGACCAGCTTCTCTACTAGACGTCCATATACCTGGATAAACGGTCTTAGAAATAAATTATGAACAGTCCTTCAACGTGGTGCACAAGATCATTTCTTATTTTTTTTTATCACAATTTTGAGGATAAATGTCAGACAGGTTCAGATAATGTTGCCATAAAGACAAACTGCACAAATTGTGAAAAAAAAAAAAAAAAACATGATTGTACAGCACGAAAAAAGACAAAGTTCATCAAAAGTGCTCAATCTGTCATATTTTTCTTAAAGGTTGTATCAGCAATTTCAAGCCCAAACAAAAATGATCACATTCATCTAATCTCTCCTAGCGATCCGCTAGCTGCCGCCCCTGAGATCTGCACACAACAACAAATGGGAACAACCACCACTCAAAACCAAAATAAACCGCGTTTAAAGTCCCCGTGAACCGGAAGTTGCAAACGATTTTTCTCCAGTGCTGTGACGTATTTCCAAGTGAAACGGAATATTGAACAGAGGGCAGGGTAATCGGGAACGATTTTGAACGGTGGAGAGAACTCGAAGAATTGAAGACGCCGAGGTTGCACTGCTTCTTCTGGACAGGCGAGTCGCTTCTAGCGCTGACTTTACTGTACGTGAACTGTGTGTGAAAATATAATTCTTTATTAACTAACTTGGTTTGTTTGGGATCTCGCTTCAAACACAAACAGAAGTGACGTCACCCACAATCGCCGATACAACCTTTAACCTCATTTTGCTCCAAAGCTTATGCCTTTCTTCTGCAGAACACTAAAGATATTTTGACGAACATCTCAACTTTTTTTGTCAATACAATGGACGTAAATGGTGTCCAAAACACTGCATCTCGTTGACTTTAATCATGTGGATGAACTTTCTATTTAGAGTATCTTCTGAAGAAATACAGCTTCTTCTGAGAAGTTTACAACCCATTTACTGCCTCTGTCAATAACATAAAGCTGAACTGTAATGAGTTAGTGTGAGTAACAGACAGACTGGATGTGCAGTTCATCACACATGGGTCATAGCTTTATTAGTGCTGCTGATCGTGTGTGTAACAGGCCTGACACAAACACAACATGCATGTAAGAGTGAAGTAGAACATTATATGTATTCAAAGTACCAGAAGATCGCGGTCACAGACACTGTTCGGACCAACTTCCCAAAGGCAGGAGCTTCACTGCGTCCATGTTCCTGCTGGACACTCGTGTTTCCCAGGCATCGTTAATAACGCGTCCGAGGTGGTAATGACATTTCAGCAATAAACCAGTAGATATTAGAATCATGATCGTTCCGTTTGCTGTCTGAATACATATTTCAGGAATGACAGCAGTTTACAGTGTTTATTAATACAGATAATTATTCTAACGTTCTATAGATTGAGTTGACATTTGGTTATTAGCATGTTTCCGACTATGTTCGGTGAAGTCCGTGAGTGTGAGTGATTCTCTCGGACATTATTAACGCAGCGGATATTATAACGCTATTATGGTTTAATAAGCTCGTTCTGCGGCGGGTCACATTGCAGCTGCACGCGCTCCGTCACCGCTCGGGTCGCGCGCCGATGCTAAGCTAACTAGCGCTGTCGGATGTGTTCGACACACAAATAAACACACACACGCGCTCACAGAGGCACGATAAACATCATTAACACACACACACACACACTCGCACAGATCACATCTAGCAAACCAAAGGCCCGTTATAAGCCACAAACAGCGCCTGAGCAAAGCGGCTGTCGATACCTTTCTGCGACAACTTCAGCTCTCCGTTTTCCTTCTTCACGCTGAGGTGATTTTCAGCCGCCAGTTTGTGTTTCTTCCTCTCTTTTTCTCTCTCTTTGCCTTTCTCTTTCTCTCGGTCTCTGTCTTTCTCTGTTTTGGTTTTCATGTTTTTCGGTTTGCTGCTGTAATTCTGCTGCTCCGTGCCTCCGTTCATCTTCTTGGCTTTAAATATTTTCTCCTCTTGTCGGATTTTCTTGGCCGGTGGAGGATGATGATGGTGCTCCCGGTTCTGGGACGCTGGTTTCGGTTCAGTGGGTTTGTTGAGCTGAATGAACTCCGCCATCTTTTCTCTATTTACTCTCTCTCGAGCTGCTGCTGTTTGTGTAAGAGGCACGGGAGGGGCGTGGCCTGGTGTTGATTGACACGAAGAACGTACTTCGGTGGGGCGTGGTCTGGTGATGATTGACAGGAAGAAAGTACTGACGTGGGCGTGGCCTGGTGTCGATTGACAGCGAGAGCAGCTCTTTTAAAGCGGGTGGACACGAGAGGTGACGTCAGCAGCTTAGTCACTGTATTCATTTGAATAAGATCCCTGAGCCCATTTACTATTTTATACTAGCATTCAAACGCTTTCATGGTGAAAACAGTCTCAAACTTACATTATATCTGTGGTTTCAAATACCATTTAATTTTTTTCCTAAATTCCACTTGAAATGTTTATTTTAAAAATGCACACGTGCAGTTTCCGATGAGTAAGTGTGAAGTTTAGCAAGTTTAGTTGAGATGAGCAAAGAAAAAAAAAAACTGCGTAAACATAAATCATACATGTGAAAGCGGCGGGATTGAGCATTCAGTTGATTGTAGCAGCATGAGGATCCGCTGGCCTTCGCTGCTCTCAGAGAGTTCGGCGACCCGATGCCCTTCTCTCTGACATGAGAGTGTATGTGAGTGAGAATGAATGAGTGTGTGTGTGTGAGGACTGACCCCAGATGGAGTGCCGCTCATTCATCCACCCAACTGACACACACACACACTCCTAGATCGACTACAGAACTACACTGGTGTTCAAGAACAAGCATTAAGCTGGTTCGGGTCATACTTATCTGACCGCTACCATTTCGTCTGCTTAAATGGAGAAAACTCGATCATAACTTCGGCAAACTATGGAGTGCCGCAGGGATCTGTGTTAGGCCCTCTATTATTCTCAATATATATGCTGCCACTTGGTAATATTATAAGGAAACATTAGTTTCCATTGTTATGCTGATGACACTCAAATGTATATTTCATCACGGCCAGATGAATTCGCTAAATTATCCAAATTGACAGATTGTGTTAAAGGTATAAAAGATTGGATGACGCGTAATTTTCTTTTATTAAATCCAGACAAGACAGAGGTAATACTTATCGGTTCTAAAAACCGTTCGCAGCACGACTTTAACATATTAGGATGTCCTGTTACTTTATCCACTACAGTAAAAGACCTGGGTGTTATACTAGACCGCAACCTGTCTTTCGAAGATCATATTTCACATGTTACAAGAACAGCCTTTTTCCACCTTAGAAACATTGCTAAGCTGCGTAACATGCTATCTGTCTCGGATGCAGAAAATTAGTTCATGCATTCATGACCTCAGACTAGATTACTGTAATGCTTTATTAGCCGGTTGTCCTGCATCCTCAATAAACAAGCTACAGTTAGTACAAAATGCAGCTACCTAGAGTTCTTACTAGGTCAAGAAAATATGATCATATAACACCGATTCGATCATCACTTCATTGGTTACCTATAAAGTTCCGTATCAATTACGAGGTATTGCTTTTGACTTATAAAGCTTTAAATGGTTTAGCTCCCGTCTATTTAACAGATCTTCTATCGCCCTACAACCCACCGCGTTTCTTAAGATCACTAAATTCGAGGCTTCTGGTCATTCCTAGGATATCCAGATCCACCAAAGGAGGGAGGGCATTTTCACATTTAGCCCCGAAGCTCTGGAATAGCCTTCCTGATATTGTTCGTTGCTCAGACTCGCTCTCCCAGTTTAAAACTAGACTAAAGACGCATTTATTTAGCCTGGCATTCATATACATTTTTTATCTTACAGTTACTGTAAATTTGGCCTCTACTTCATAAACGCCAGAGGAGAGCTGGCCCCCGACTGAGCCTGGGCTCTCCCAAGGTTTTGTTTCTCCATCGGGTCACTTGGAGTTTTAGGACACCGTCGGGTCACTTGATGGAGTTTTTCGGTTGCCACTGGTGCCTTTGTCTTGCTCAGTTGGGGATACTCAAATTAAATGACCCATCAAACCATTGATCAGCTCTACCAAACTTGATTGTCTTTTTTCATGAATAAACAAACACTGTGATGTTGTCCTGATTGATACTGTGAAGCAGCTTTGATACAATCTGTATCACACACACACACACACACACACTCTAACTCTCGTGTTGGAAGAGGCTAGAGTTTGAATGACCAGAACATCAGGAAAAATTGTGACAAATGACAAAGTGCAAGAAACCCTTCAGATCGAAGTCACACACTCGTTTACGAGCACGCGCTACAACTGTGTGTGTGAAAGCAGGAGTTCAGTTCCTGACCACTGTACAAAACCTCAATGTGAGATATAACACGGACACACACACACACACACACACACACACACACACACACACACACACACACACACACACAGAGCTTGTATGGACAATAAAACAGCAGAAGGCAGATTCCTCCTAATGTTTTTACTGACACGTGATTGATTGACAGGTCTGTGTTGGAAGGTCGAGTAAAATCCCAGAGGTTTAAATGCGACTGTGCAACTTACACACACTCTCTCTCTCTCTCTGCGTCTCTCACTCAACACACACACACACACACACTCTCTCTCTCTCTCTGCGTCTCTCACTCAACACACACACACACACTCTCTCACACACACACACACACTCTCTCTCACACACACTCTCTCTCTCTCTCTGCGTCTCTCACTCAACACACACACACACTCTCTCACACACACACACACACTCTCTCTCACACACACTCTCTCTCTCTCTCTGCGTCTCTCACTCAACACACACACACACACTCTCTCTCACACACACACACTCTCTCTCTCTCTCTCTCTGCGTCTCTCACTCAACACACACACACTCTCTCTCTCACTCACACACACACACACACACTCTCTCTCACACACACACACTCTCTATCTCTCTCTCTCTCTGCGTCTCTCACTCAACACACACACACACTCTCTCTCACACACACACACTCTCTCTCTCTCTCTCTCTCTCTGCGTCTCTCACTCAACACACACACACTCTCTCTCTCACACACACACACACACACACACACACTCTCTCTCTCTCTCTCTCTCTGCGTCTCTCACTCAACACACACACACACTCTCTCTCACACACACACACACACTCTCTCTCTCTCTCTCTCTCTCTGCGTCTCTCACTCAACACACACACACTCTCTCTCACACACACACACACACACACACACACTCTCTCTCTCTCTCTCTCTCTCTCTCTCTGCGTCTCTCACTCAACACACATACACTCTCTCTCTCTCTCACTCACACACACACACAGTAAAAGAAAAGAAAGGCACAGGCGAGCTGTCAGGGTGTCGTTCGTGAAGTGAGAAAATGGCATATACAAAAATAACCTCTAAAATACAATTTACAAAAGCATTAATACACTCTCCAGCCCGCAGCGTCTGATGTGGCCGACACACACCTGCCGAACAAACGGGAAGAACGGCGGGAGAAAAGAAAACACAACCCTGGAAACGCTTGTTCTAACAGGAGGGCAAATAACTTACAGGTCGGGGTTCACGTGACGGGGTCATGCACAGATGTCTAGATATTCAGTGATGGTAGATTAGCATCATCATCATCATCATCATCATCGCCTGAAGACACACAGCGTTCAGCGTTCATGAGTTCAGACTAAACTACACGAGTGATGGTCCGGGACAGCAGGAGTAAGGCATGTGTCTGGACCCAGCGACAGCACCAACAGCGGAGCACTGCAGCAGTGCATCATGGGAGATTATCTTGGGAGCTTTCTGATTGTGTAAGTCAGAGATGAGGGCGCAAAGTCTTCGACGTCCATCACTGATAGAGAGTGTGTGTGAGGAGAGTCACGTCCACTCCGACGGAGGATCCCGAGGGCCTTTCGGATGAGAGCAGCGGCTGCCGAATCCTGGCGGACACACACACACACACACACAGATGAGAAACAGCAACACACACACGAGGAGCTTTCATCTGCTCCGTCACTCACCGATCTCGGTCCTCTTCTCCTTCGGGACAGTCGCAAGCGTATCCTTCCCGCTCTTCTGCTCGGCGTCTAGAGAGAATAACAGAGACGCATCACAAACACACAGCCAATCAGACGCCTCCGTCATGACGGGCTAATCTCGCCAACGTCAGTGAGCTAACGAGCGTGATTGGCTGTGGGAGACATTAAGGTAAAACACTGGTTTACGCCAAGACGAGGCAGTAGTGTGAAGCGAAACACCTCACACACGAGAAACAGGCCTATAGAAGCGTGAAATGTCTACTTTAAACAAACCAATCCCATTGGAAAGCATCTACCCGAAAATAAGACGAGGTTTTTATCCTAAAAATAGGCTGGAAAATGGGGTGACCGCCTGATGCTCGGGCCGTCTGATGATCGGGCCGTCTGATGATCGGGCCGTCTGATGCTCGGGCCGTCTGATGATCGGGCCGTCTGATGCTCGGGCCGTCTGATGATCGGGCCGTCTGATGATCGGGCCGTCTGATGATCGGGCCGTCTGATGATCGGGCCGTCTGATGCTCGGGCCGTCTGATGCTCGGGCCGTCTGATGATCGGGCCGTCTGATGATCGGGCCGTCTGATGATCGGGCCGTCTGATGATCGGGCCGTCTGATGCTCGGGCCGTCTGATGATCGGGCCGTCTGATGATCGGGCCGTCTGATGATCGGGCCGTCTGATGATCGGGCCGTCTGATGCTCGGGCCGTCTGATGCTCGGGCCGTCTGATGCTCGTGTATATATACGGTAGTCTGATTCTGTAATCCAGACAGCTGCAGTTCTCTCTCTAGTTGTCGCTAGTGTGGATGACGATCAGCAAACCTCGACTTCCTCTCGGATGGTTTGTGTTTGAGTCAGTTCACAAGTCTTGCCCTAACCCTAACCTTGCCCTAACCCCAACCCTTGCTGAGGACACACACACTTCAGATAGGTCTGTTTCTCTTCTCACACACTCACACACCCCTGCTCTGAGTGAGCATCACTGGCTAAAGCTGGACAATATCAAACACACATCATGTGAGCATTGAGCATGTGGAGTGTGTGACGCACCGCTGTGTGGAGGAGCAGCAGGAGTGTGTGTGTCTCCGGATCCCTGCGAAAGAGAGAGCAGACGGTTACAGGTGTGTTTCAGAGCCGCTCCAGCAGAAGGTGTGTGTGTGTGTGTGTGTGTGTGTGTGAGCTGTGTGTCACTCACCTGTGGCTCGACTGAAGCGGCTCCGCCCGGCGGCTCGTCCGAAGCATCTGGAGGAACAGGTAAAGACACACACACACACACACCGTTATAACATGAGCTGTGATGATGCGTTATTCCCCACCGACGACATGCGAAGATGCTGACGAACCTTCAGTGATCCACTCACCGGAAACTCACACACACACACACACACACACACACAGCTGAGATTCACTCAGAAACACACACACACACACACACAGCTGAGATTGACCCAGAAACACACACACACAGCTGAGATTCACTCAGAAACACACACACACACAGCTGAGATTCACTCAGAAACACACACACACACACACACACAGCTGAGATTCACTCAGAAACACACACACACACACACACACACAGCTGAGATTGACCCAGAAACACACACGAACCCACTGGAAACGTTTTCCTTCTCCATAAGAGCAGCTGCTGTCTTCTATAGTAACGGACAGCTGAGATTCACTGTGTGTGAAAGAGTGTGTGTGTGTGTGTGTGTGTGTGTGTGTGTGAGTGTCATTACACTGCTGTTCCCCAAGAGTCAGCGGACGAATCTAACAGTTAATAAAGTGACAGAAGTAAATCTCCACTGTCTGAACTGAGCGGCGCCACAGTTCCTCTTCACGACTAAAGCAGGAAGTGATGCGCTGCACGCGAGCGACTCAGAGCCTCTGCTGCCCTCGTGTGGCTGGAGAGAGACACGCACCTGTGGCCAATAGGAAGGACTCAGCGGTTCTCTCAGGAAGAGGAGGAGGAGAATCGTCACTGCCGTCACAGTCTGAGGCAGAAAGAGCACGTTACTAACCACAGCACACACACACACACACACACACACACACTCTCACCATCCCGAGCGTTTACCCAGTGTAGCGCAGCACCAACCACAGACACAAGCCCCACTCCCATCATGCCTTCAGCCCCACACACTACTGACAGACGAACCCGAGACAGGCAGCGGCTCACAAGAGAACTGCATTTGATCAGGTGACCTGAACACACCAGGAGCATCGCTGTACACACACACACACACACACACACACACCGCCTCAGGTATGATCCCACACACACAAACACACACTTCCTAAAAACAGACACTCTTAAGACCACCAAACTTGTCCTCATTCTGAGTGTGAACTCTGACCCAGTGACACACTTCTGCCACGCATCACTTCTGTGCGACATCCCTGACCCCTAGCCTGATCACATGATCGTCACATGACTGGAAGGAAGTGAGAACCAGCAAAGCAGACGGATGTGTGTGTGTGTGTGAGAGATCATACCTGAGGTGGTGTGTGTGTGATCATACCTGAGGTGGTGTGTGTGTGTGTGTGTGTGTGTGTGTGATCATACCTGAGGTGGTGTGTGTGTGTGTGTGTGTGTGTGTGTGTGTGTGTGATCATACCTGAGGTGGTGTGTGTGTGTGTGTGTGTGTGTGTGTGTGTGATCATACCTGAGGTGGTGTGTGTGTGTGTGTGTGTGTGTGTGTGTGTGTGATCATACCTGAGGTGGTGTGTGTGTGTGTGTGTGTGTGTGTGTGTGTGATCATACCTGAGGTGGTGTGTGTGTGTGTGTGTGTGTGTGTGTGTGTGATCATACCTGAGGTGGTGTGTGTGTGTGTGTGTGTGTGATCACACCTGAGGTGGTGTGTGTGTGTGTGTGTGTGTGTGTGTGTGTGATCATACCTGAGGTGGTGTGTGTGTGTGTGTGTGTGTGTGTGTGTGTGTGATCATACCTGAGGTGGTGTGTGTGTGTGTGTGTGTGTGTGTGTGTGTGATCATACCTGAGGTGGTGTGTGTGTGTGTGTGTGTGTGTGTGTGTGATCATACCTGAGGTGGTGTGTGTGTGTGTGTGTGTGTGTGTGTGTGATCATACCTGGGGGGGTGTGTGTGTGTGTGTGTGTGTGTGTGTGTGTGTGTGATCATACCTGAGGTGGTGTGTGTGTGTGTGTGTGTGTGTGTGTGTGATCATACCTGAGGTGGTGTGTGTAGGGATGGGTACCGAAACCCGGTATTAAACGGGCCCCGGTACTGAATTTTGAAAGACCGCTGTATCGATAAGCTCGGACGTTACCGGTTCTGCTGTCGGTACTGGAGAAATTATTTATCATTCCTATAAAGACGTTATCTTGAACATGTTTATATCGCCAGCCTTTTCTATATATAAACTATATTTTAATTAAACCATTTGTCTGTGATGCAAATTTGAAATTCGCAGTTCAGCAGAGAGAGAGAGAAGAGAGAGAGCGATCTCTCACGCAAAGCCACAGCACGCGCAACACGACAGCCCTGCTTAATGAGTGACAATCAGGACAGAACTAAACATTCAGCGTAGTTACACTTTAGATGTGGGATATTATTGTAATATATTTTGTATTTCGGCTTCCAAAGATTATAAAAAGAAGATATTTGAGATAAAACTGTTACTCAAAAGAATACACTTTAGAATTAATCCTCCGTTTATTAGATCACATCGCCTGTTACACCACCACGGTGTACGCTCAAAAACAACAACCCAACACTTCCGGGAACTTCATAATAAGAGTCCCCCTTTTCCTTTAGTAAACAGTCATATGAAATCGTAAACAATATTCAGCACAGAGGTTCAATGTACATTAACACATTTTTTACTGACTTAAACTTAACAAACTCCCACTCTTCAAAAAAAAAAAAAAAAAAAAATTATTATTATTTTTTTTTAAGTCAACATACTAACAGGACATACTGAACAACATCCTGCTCTAACAAAAATACGAACTGGTAAATTTTAACCAGATTTTGGGTACAACTCAAAGATAGACTTTGTTTTAATTCAGTTTACATTGTCCTTCACTCAGTGCCTTGAGTAACTGGCAAGCTGATGCCCCCTTCTTGGTAAGACAGTCCGCAAGTTGTTCTTTTGTGTTGTACCACAGTACTCGCTCTACTCTCTGTGTTTGTACAAGTTCTTTGATGCTACTTATCTCCAGACGGAGTCTTTTCTCAGAGACTGACTTTGTGGACTTAAGTGCATCAGCAAGCGAATGATTGTCTGTGACACAGATTATTGGTGGAGCATGATCAGCATCACCAGCAGTTAGTTCTGAGAACAGTGTGGACAGAAAAATACAATTGTCAATTCCATCAGACATTGCCAAAGTTTCACCAGCAAGTGTGCTCCGCACAATCCTCTTGACTCTCTTTGATTGCCATGAAAGGGGTGAGAATTTTCCATTTTCTCCCATTAGAAGAATCAAGTGGCCTCCTTGAGTGCCTCCATCGGAAAGATTTCCAAACGAAGCATCGCTGAACACAACCATCTTAAGAGCACTGTCTCTGCCCAAGTGTTGGAAGTTTAGAATTACCTTCTTGGACTTAAGTTTGCACACTATCCGGTTTGCTTCATGAATTGTCTGCACAGTAGCATTTTTTATATTAGATGTCAAATTGCTTGCATCAAATATAACATCTGGCCTGCTCTGCCTTGCCACCCAGAGAATTTGGCCTATTTTGGATCTGAGCTGATCTTTTTCCTCCTCGCAGAGAGATGAGTCTTGTTCCACAGCTCGTGAAGGATCCAGATGTATGGGCTGCATGTGTTGAATGTAGCTCTCCTGGTGTATTTGTACTTTTCTGTCAATAGTCACAAAATCTATTCCCACATAACAGAAGTGATCATGTTCCTCACGTCCAACTTGGAAAACAGATCTAAGGTGTGGTATTACGGTTGAGGAGAAACTTTCCGTGCCTCCCCATAAGAAGTCATCCACATGACAGGCAAGCACCCCAGTGACAATGCAGTCCTGATCTAGCCAATAAAAAACAGCTGGATCAACCTTGGACATTTTTCCTCCTGCTTTCAGCACTATGTCTTTGACTCTATTGTACCAGTACAATGAAGCATCTGCCAAGCCATATACACACTTTTTTAGCTTCCATAATGTTCCTTCACTGACGGCCTCAGGGGGAGGCCTGATGTAGATGTCACGTGACAACTCTATTCCCTGTAGAAATGCAGATTTTATATCCATAGAATGAAGTGTCCACTGTTTTTGACAAATAACTGCCACCAGCAGTCGAAGAGATTCTGAAGCACATGTGGGTGAATCCTTTTGTAGCTCTGACACATTTAACTCCTCAAAACCTCTGGCCACCAATCGTGCTTTCGGTACTAGTCCAGTTAGTGTTTCCTTGAGAGTGCATACCCATCTGGTAGAGATGCACTTTTGTCCCTCATCCTGAACTTCCTCAAACACACTGTTATCTCTCCAACTCTTCATCTCTTCTTGTTTGGCTAGGTCAAAGGACAGATCTTTTGTTACCAATACATCCTCACTGACATTTGTGACACTTACATCTGTAACAGCAGGTTCTATTTGAAGACACTCTAAACATGATATGTCAACTGAATCTTTACTGCCTGCAACATTAGTGGGTTCTATGAGCAGAAGGTTATACCAGTCTTTGTATTTGCCAGTAGCTTTGCCTGCACGCCCTATTACTTTTGCTTTGTGAAAAGCCCCACTGTCTCTGTCTCTGTATTTTAGAACTTGCCCTGTTTTTAGACGGACCTCCTTTCCTTGCTCTGTATCACTTTGTGTCCCAATGTCATCACTTGTGGGTTGTGCTGCTACATTCTGCCCCATAGTGGATACCCCTGCGTGCTGAGTTTGCACAGAACTTTGCTCTATTTCGGTTACGGTGTCTGTTCGCTCCGTGTTGTTGCCAGAATCTTCTGTCGTCTCCTGTCTTGGCTCATTGTTTGTGTCAATTTCAGCATCATCCTTACTGACATGTTGATCTCCACTGTCTGGGTTTACTTTTCTTAGCCTGAGATAGTGTACCCTAATGCAGGTTCCTCCATGTCTGACAAACACCACAGCACCATCCTGGCCAATAACAACTCCTGGTCCTTTCCACTTTGGACAATCAACTCTCTTGTAGTACACTTTATCACCCATTTCATATTTCTCATCTGTGTGACGCAGTTGTTTACGTAGTGCTCGCCGTATTCTTTCTGAGCATTCTGCTTCAGTGAACGCCTTTCTTGATGCATGTAAAGCGGAGATGTGTTTTGCCACCCACTCACTTTTCGTGGTGCCCTCTAAAGCTGGGGGCTTGTCGGTTAATACAGATGGCAGGTTGGGATTCTGTCCAAACACCAACTGATGAGGACTGTAGCCATGGACATTTTGCATAGTGTTCTTTGCCATAAGAGCCCAGTCCAATGCAGTGTCCCAGTCACAGCCATTACTTGACTTCACTTTCATCATGATCTCAGTAAGTGTTTGGTTGTGTCGCTCTGTAAGTCCATTACTCCACGGGCTGTATGCTGCTGTTGTCTTTATTTCTATGTTGAAGTTTTCTGCCATGTCTCTAACCTCATCATTGTTAAATTCTCCCCCATTGTCACTAAAAAGTTTCTGAGGTGGACCATGTACACTTATCCAGACATGGACAAAGTGTTTCACTATTTCAGAAGATTTCTTTGTGGTTAGTATGCTGCCGGCACTAAACCTTGTGAACTGGTCAATAATGTGGAGATACCACACACCTGGTTGAAGTTCATGCAGATCTACTGAAACAGTTTCATTGTACTGTGATGCCAGTGGTAGGCCAACAGCAGGCTTTGGTTTGGTCTTACTGTATCTTTGACATGTTTCACATTCACTGACAATTTTTTCCAGAATGACACTACATTCTGCATCTTTATTCCCAGAGCTAGTAAGAAGTCTCTGCAGTCTGTCAGCAGAAGCATGACCAAACTGTCTGTGAAGCTTCATCAGGATTTTGTGTTTTTCTGCTGAACTAATTTTTTCTGAGATTGTCAGTATTTCCTCTTCACACTGACTTTGTACATTCTCATTCTTTTGTTCTGTTAGAGTGACATCTTCAACAGCCACCAAGACACATTCGTCACCTTGAATGGTTTTCTTTTCATTGTCCATGATGTTTACACAGTAATGACCAGAGCTTGTAAAGTCAAGTTTTACAGGTTGACTAAACATCACCGCACTGTCATTCTCCATATCCAGCACTGTCCCTGCTCTTTTCATGGATGCCTTGCTCAAGAGTAGTGGAATCTTCGCTGGCACAACTTCAGTTTCAATATGACACTTAGTTTGTCCAATCTTTGCAGGAATTTTCAACTTTCTGTTGGAATAGACCACTTTTCCATCACCAAACTTAAAGGGTCTGTGACTGGGTGTTTCTGTCTTTCTCAGGTCTTTTATCTCGTTTTGGCTTAGTTCAGCGATGTAACTGTTTATCCATTCCTGTCCACACACAGTCCGTGTGCATGCAGTGTCTATTATTGCTGAGCCGAAACACTCTGTCATAAATATTTCTGCTTCAGTGGGACACTCTTTAGTATACAGAGTAATGTTGCACTCCTCTATATCATCTGTTTTACAATCTTCAGTAAGTTTGACTTGCTCACCTCTGTGTGGACAGTCTTTGGCCCAGTGGAATGTGCTTTGACAAACAGCGCACTTTGATCTGCGTCCATATCTGTCCAGAGGGTTGCTGCCAGGCAGTGGTGTTTTTTGCTGAACATTTTGTGACCATGGCTTGCTCCTTTGTCGCCTTTGTTCCGTTACATATGCTGTTTCCTGATTAATCCCCACAGTAGAAGCGGACTTTCCTCCGAAAATCCTCTTCAGTGCTGACTTCATTGACGCAAAATTCAAATCTGTACATGCTGTCAGAGCTAACTGTCGGTCTTTCACTTCTAAGCACGCAGTGTCCAGCAGTTTAAATGCTAATACTGCGTCGGGAAGCTCCATATTATATTTACGCATCCGCGAGTACCGTTGTTCAAAATCAATTATATAGTCTGTCATGGAAACACTGCTATCTTTCATAATCCGGTCAAAGCTCGAGTACGCCTCGTAAACTTGGTCCTTTTCTTCTTTGAGAAACAAATCATCGAGTTTCACTAGTAAAGTGTTCATACCAGTGTCCTTATTCAAATCGTCTACCGGTATTTCCATCGCCGTTTCTCTCGCTCTTCCAGACAGCGCCAAAGCCACAGCAAGCGCCTGTTTTTTTTTTTCGAGTTCCGTAACCCTAGTCCAAATTGCGACTTCATTCTTCCAACTTTCATATGGCTTTCCTTCATCAAAGGTTGGGGGTGTTCTATAGTTGCTAACCATCCTCTGCTACCAATGTTACTCAAAAGAATACACTTTAGAATTAATCCTCCGTTTATTAGATCACATCGCCTGTTACACCACCACGGTGTACGCTCAAAAACAACAACCCAACACTTCCGGGAACTTCATAATAAGAGTCCCCCTTTTCCTTTAGTAAACAGTCATATGAAATCGTAAACAATATTCAGCACAGAGGTTCAATGTACATTAACACATTTTTTACTGACTTAAACTTAACAAAAACCGTTAAAAACAAGACGCATGATCTGTCCAGCTTAACTTCCTTTACTTCACAGCACTGCGGAGCGCTGTACCCAAACGTACCGTCAGAATCAGCACGATCGGCGATTGTTGTACAATGCTGTCTTCTACTGTTGCAAGATCAAATAATGGCTATTAAAAACACAAAAGCCTGCGCAAGAGACGCTGTTCACAAGGCGATGCGCGCTCCGAAACGGACTGCAACGAGACAAGAAAAGTAGCCTATACTTTGGGCTTCGTGTGTCCTCCTTAACTATCAAATATACATAAAAATGTCAAAATGACCAGCTCTGAGATTCGCTTAAACACAGTTTATTCACTTAAACACAATGATGTCTTAAATGGACGTAAATAATAGGGAGAAATTGATGGTGCTTCAGTTACCGATTAGATTTGCTCTCGGTCTTAAAGGGGCAGCAGTCTAATAGCCTAAACCTGCTGACGATTCAGCCATTAATGCAAATCAAACAACAAAAGGCAGAAAAAAATCACTCACAGCTTTTGAATAAGTAACTTTAGATTTAATAAGCATTAATCTATCTATGATAAACTATACAGTGCTATTTTATATTTGATTACTAAATTAGGTTTCTTTTCAGACAGAAACAATTATCTGAAAAGATATCTTAGTACACCTTCCTGAAATTAAAGCACTTTTGTATATAATTTGTATCTTTGATTGATTTTATTCTTGGTTTTTTACTTGTTTTTTTTTTCTTATGTGTCCTTTTTGTATATAAAACAAAAAAGCCTGCACATTGCTGCATAACAAAAATATATTTTTCTTCGTTTTGCTTTTTCTATTTTACATTTCAAAATATAGAGTTTAATTATGTTCTTAATTCTTTAAAAAAAAAAAAAACACCAAAAAGAACCGATAAGAATACCGTTAAAGTACCGGATCGATAAGCGGGTATCGGTAAGAGTAGTAATACCGATAAAACCTTAACGATACCCATCCCTAGGTGTGTGTGTGTGTGTGTGTGATCATACCTGAGTGGGGTGTGTGTGTGTGTGTGTGTGTGTGTGTGTGTGTGTGTGTGTGTGTGTGTGTGATCATACCTGAGGCGGTGTGTGTGAGGAGACTCTGGCCAGCGCTGGACATCGTGTGAGTGCGCGCGGGACTGGATCGCTCTGCTGCGCCGCTGTTACCGTGGAGACCCCGCAGCGAGTGTCGTCAGGCGAGCCGGAGTGCAGCGGGTTGGTGAAGCTCAGCGCGGCTCTGGCGGGAACAGCAGGACTGGGCGACCGCTGGGCTCTGGCGGGACTGGACCGGGCCGAATCCCTCAGCGGCAGGTGATTGGGCCGCGGCGGGTCGCTCTCCCTCGCACTGGGAGCCGCTGGTGTCGGACCGCTTGAAGGCGTGCGAGCGCTGAAGAACGCTGTTTCCCTCGAAGCTGATCGGGCCCTCCTGCAGCGGGACTTTCTTGATCTCGATGCTCAGCTTGCGCTCGGGGCGCCGGTCCTCGGGGGGCGACGCCGGCCTGCTGCTGTAGTTCTCGTTGAGGTCGGGCTTCTGCTCCAGCACGTGCAGGATGGGTTTGGGGGTGGTAGCGGTCGTTGTCCTGCCGCGCGTGTGTGACCGTGGGGAAGGCGGAGGGCGGCGACGGCGTGAGGATGGGCGGCACCGGGAGCGGCTCCGGCGGCTGCAGAATCTCCTCCTTCACGTCGCCCTCCGGATTACTGAGAGGAAAACATCAGCTTTATCTCGGATCACATGGGCTACGGCCCAGACGTTCGCCAAATATTTCAAAATGAATCAAAAACAAAAAACAGTTTCAGACGGTCTAAGTCCACGGCTCGACTCTCACCTGCGGATCCGGGGCGGTTTGGGAGGCGGCGAATCCCATCGTTCCTCGTCTGAATTCTGACCAGGTTTTTCGGGCTGCCCTCTTCCTGTGGTCAGAGAGAGAGTGTGTGTGACTGTGTGTGTGTGTGTGTGTTTGGGGGGTGGTTATGGTCACTTGCGCACACCGCAGGAAAAACAAATAAAGGAGAAAAAAA